CTACCACTACCACGACTACTACTATTATTACTACTACTACTACTACTACGACGACGACGACTACTACGACTACTACGACTACGACGACTACTACTACTACTACTACTACTACTACTTGTTCTGCTATTGCTGCTACTACTGCTGCTAGTACTACTACTACTACTACTACTACTATTACTACTACTACTACTACTAGTACTACCACTACTACTACTACTACTACTACTACTTGTTCTGCTATTGCTGCTACTGCTGCTGGTACTGCGACTACGACTGCGACTGACGACGACGACGAGTACGACTGCGACCCTGACTACGACGATGACGGCTACGACGACTACCACTACGGCAAGGGCTACGACCACGACTACGACCACGACGACGAGACGACGACGACGACTACGACTACTACTACGATTACTGGTACTTCAACGGGAACTACGAAAAGCGTTGACTGCTCCGACTCGATCGTCAAGTCAGATGATTGCAACAGCACTCGACATGCACCCTTACACAGCAGCATGACGACGACAATGTAGCATGGATGTAGGGGTTGCTTAGGGTTTGGGGTTTAGGGTTTAGGGTTTCTTGGGGGCTAGGGCTTAGGGTGTAGGCGTACACTGCTTCATGTGCCAGGCATTCCTGGCAGATCCGTTGAGATACGCTGTGCGAGCCGCCCTCGTTGCCACCTCAGACTCGGCTCAACAACGCCTTAGATAATCTAGTGTCGTAAATTATATAGACAAGTATAATAAAGTATAGTTTTTTGTTACAGATTATACTAGAGTACATTGAGGTATACTGTAGTAGATAGTAAGGTACCATATGAGCAAAGCCCAGTGTGGCGTAGTTTGTAGCTGCCTGCCCTGCCGCTTAGGTGGGTGTGATCAGTCTGGTCGTGGGGTCGCTGCCCATCGCTGCACTGCTAGCCCTCTCAAGACGCTCGGATGGTTTTGTCACAGTCTCGTCAGTGCGATGAGACGAGTCAAGCGCAGAAAGCCGGACGGATGGTTGGACAGAAGAACGGACACTCACTCGCCGTGAGACAGACTGGGACACGAACCCCGCTCCATATGTATGCACACCCGCAAGCAAAACAACAAACAAGCACACACAGTAAGCAAGGCGTGTGTGTCTGCAAACCTGACTTGTTCACTGTTCCACGATGCAGTAAGCATTGCACACCGCCACTGTTTCTAAACTCTTGGTAAGACTCTCAGCGCAGGCTCGAAAGGAGAGAGAGTCTCGCTCAGGAGCCCGGCGAAACGATCGATGGAAGATCCTCAAAGGAAGCATATACTGGTTTTTCATTGGCTGCTTGGGTGATGAGTTGGTAGAGTTGACTAGTTTAGTACTGTAATCTGTTTTGCGAGGACGTTATGCCTTTTGGCAAAAATGCTGCAATCAAGATGCACCGGGTTTTTCCTATAGCTTGAGAAGTTCGGAGACTGCTCACGCCCGAACCCATCCCCGAAGACTCTAAGACCCAGCAAGCGCCAAGTTGGATATTCTATCTTCTGCGACCTGGTGCTCTGCATCTTTCTGGCCCATGTAAGCCCATTGGATGCGGAGTTCCCTGGCGATTAAGAGTTCATGCAGCTTTTTAGTTTGTGGTCATTGGAACGCCCGATGTTGGATAAGGATCTGGGCATTTGCTGGACTGAAGCTCTTTCCGCAAGAAGCTCACGTGCTGTTTCCCTTATGATACGAGGATGCAGACTGTGTCCGTGTCCTTCCTGTCACGCGTTGATCGAGTTGCCGCGACCACTATGAGAGCAATGTATTGTACTGTAGAGGTTGGTGGCAGGCATGGAAGTGGCCACGCTTTTGACAGAGATAGTATTCAGCAGCCACCATCATATACATGACCAGAACGCGACATAGATGGTGCCAGTGATCACATTGAGAGAAGCGCTTTCAGGACAAGCTTCATCACCAGCCTGGCCGTGTTTCCTATTCTGGTGACATTGGCGGTTGCCCCGGCGCTGCTCTGGCTCTCCTTCAACAAGGATGTTGCCGAGCAAATGACGCTGAGCTGGACATTATCCTGGGTAGCGGCTCCGAGCTCTGACGATTCTGGAAGTTTACAGCATCAAAACCCTCTCGACATCGTCATGACGATCAGCGTCAACTTTGATCATCATCATCGTCATCATCATCACAAGCATCATCAACACCATCACAATCATCACCATCAGCATCATCAGCATCATCATCATCAACATCATCATCATCATCAGCATCATCACCGTCATCATCACCATCATCATCATCACCACCATCATCAACATCATACATCAGTGTTATGGTCACTTTCGTCGTCCTCGTTATCACCATCAGCTCCATCTCCATCTTCCTCCTCATCTCCATGCGCACCGTCATCGTGACCATCATCACCAGTAGTTTCAGGGGCAGGAGTCGGAGACAGTCGGAGTAGGAGTAGGAGGAGTCGGAGAAGGAGTAGGAGCTGGAGTACGAGTAGGAGTCGTAGCAGCAGCAGTAGCAGTAGCAGCACTAGCAGCAGTAGGAGTAGTAGCAGTAGCAGTAGTAGTACTAGTAGTAGTAGTAGTAGTAGTAGTAGTAATAGTAGTATTAATAGTAGTAGCAGAAGTAGTCGTCGTAGTCGTCGTAGTAGTCGTTGTAGCCGTCGTAGCGGCAGTGGTAGTGGCAGTGGTAGTGGCAGTGGTAGAGGCAGTGGTAGGTAGTCGTAGTCGCAGTTTCAGTGGCAGTGGCAGAGGCAGTGGTAGAGGTAGCCTCAGCTGTGGCGGTAGTGGCTAGGGCCGGCTAGGGGTAGCGGTAGTGGTCGTGGTCGTAGATGTAGTCGTAGTGTAGTCGCCGTTTTGTTAGCGGTCGTGGTCGTGGTCATGGTGGTGGTGGTGGTGGTGGTAGTAGTAGGAGTAGGAGTAGGAATAGGAGTGGGAGTTGCATCGGCAGTAGCAGCAGCAGCAGCAGTAGCAGCTGTGGTATTGGTAGTGGTAGTGGCAGTGGCAGTGGCAGTGGTAGTGGTGGTGGTAGTAGTAGTAGTAGTAGCAGCAGTAGTAGTAGCAGTAGTAGTAGCCGGTCTTATTGCGGATGCACTCTTATGGAAAGCAAAGCCCGAGACCTTTCCTTGTGAGACACTGTTCAGTGTTCGCTTGAGGATGACCCTAAACTTTTCACCCTGAAAGCCTAAAGACCCTTAGCCCTAAAAACTCGGTTTGATTCTCCTCATGAATAAAACCGTTATAACACTCTGACTTGATAGAACATATGAAAGTTTGTTCGAGTTTCTAGCACAACCTCACACAGTCCTTAGAGACGTCGCTTAAGATCCCCCGCAGTCCCTACCAACCTGGTGAAGACCACCGACCTCAGGGAGGCCGCAAGCCACCCTCAAACAAGCACCAGGTAGAGCCCGTAAAGAACCTTTATCAGCCGTGCTTCAGACCTCGCGTATACCCGAAACCCTATACCCGAAACCCTAAACCCCTAAACCCTAAAACCCTAAAACCCTAAACCCTAAAACCCTAAACCCTAAAAGCCAGAAGCCCTAAAAGCCTTAAGCCCCAAACCCCGAAAGCCATGAGCCCCCAGAGCCCTAAGCTCCAAGATCCGGATCAACGAAAAACACCCAAACATAACCTATCCTGTTACTTTAAACACAAAGGGAACTATGGAATATCCCACTATGGTTTTTGTTTAGGTGCTTTTTGGGGTGCCTGTAAAGACTCCAAAATAAACCCCTAAACCCTAAACCCCTAAACCACTAAACCCCAAACCCGATAAACCCTAAAGCCCTAAGCTCTAACAACCTCCGATTTCAGGATGACCCCGGTAGACGACCGGAAGATCGGTGACCCGAACCCACCTGAGATCAAGGCCGGCCAGTCTACTATGGGGGCCTAAATCACTACGGCTGATGACATAAATCCTGAATATACCATCATTCCGATAGTTTAGGGTCCTTATGGTAATGCAGGAATTATATTACCAACAGTACAAATACTATCTCTGGGGGTTGTAGTATAATATCCCCCCCATATATATATATATTCATTCTACTTCTTAAGACTTAAGGCCCCTACCTTACGCAAACACTTTAAGGGTTTGGGTTTTGGGTTTCAAAGATTCGGGGCTTATATATGATCATTAGGGGTGTTGAAGTTTCGTAGTCGGGTTCAATGTCAATGGTTTAGGGTTTAGGGTTTAGGGTACCCGAAGCCCTAAGCCCTAAATATACAGTTGTATGATCCCTGAGGCTGTTTGCATGGGGCTTTCTCGTGGGTTGTATAAGTTTGTTCTTGAATTGTTTTAGTGTTTAGAGGGCTTTGTGGGGCATAAGGGCAGAGTTTGGTAGAACCGTAAGCACGTTTGTTCGGGCTTAAGGGGTTTGGAGGGTAGGGTTTGGTTGCAGGGTTTCTTCCATCACACTGCCAGCTTGTTCTCACAGCTCTCATGATTGTTGCTTCACTCACTGTTTGCTGCTTGCAGTAGCTCACCCTGCAGCCTACATTGCAGTAGGCATGCAGCAAGTAACAGCAACGCAGCAGTTTACCCGTTCGGTGAAACATTGCACTTTAAGCCATGACCGCATACCCTGACCTCAGGGGATGATCAACCAAGACTTGCTGAAGCAGGCCGGAGGAAAATGCCACATCGATCGTCTAGACGGTGGTGGGCGTATTCGTAGGCTTACAGCATAAACACACAGTAGGGCTTAGATCTTAGGCGTGGTAACCCGCCTCCCGGCCCATTTGGATCATGAAACTGGCCTAACTATAACTAGGCCTTTGACATGTCGTCTAGGTTTGTGACGATGGCTCAGTTGGCTTCAAGGGATCAAGGGATCAGGCAGCGGTCAGCCCTAAACCCTGAGGCCCTCAAACCTACATTCTCCATTGAGGTGCATGCCTGTCCGGGAGGCCTCTTGGGCTTAGGCTTGATGGTTTTTGCATGTTTAGGGACGTGGGGCTTTGGTGGTTTAGGGTTTAGGGTCCCGTGCAGGCACAGCAAAGCCATTGAGAAACACACAGGTGCAGCCGTTCCAGCAAGTGTGCTTCTTCTTTACATGGACTGTTGGCACTATCACTATGGCCCTCTGGAGTAGGAAAGGTACGCGAAGATAGTTTGAAGCTTAAATATTGATAGTTCGATTTGTTAAGGCATCTCATAAGAATCCAAGGCCCCTATGTGACTTCTTTCGGCGATTCCATGGGCCCAAGCTAGCATTAGGGGCCTCGTTGTCTTACCACAGGTCGCACGCTTGAAAGCTGCAATATGTTGAGCAGTAGCGAAATGCATGGCCGAAGGTCTGCCATGCCTATTCACAATGGCGAGAACACGAAAACACAGCTGAAGCTTGCATTCTGGACTTCCAAAAACTCCGAAACTCATCCTCGTCGGTTGTTCCCGAATGGCAATCAAAGTCATCACCATAATCATACTTTCAATCATAATCATCTTTTTGTCTTCATCATCAGCAGTGCCGCCATCACGAGGTCTGTCGTCATCAAGGGCACAATATTCACCACCGGCCCGTCATTATAGCAATACTCAGAAGGATGACTGTATGCAAATCCGTCTTCACAGCCCACTCAAAGCGTTAAGGCCCCTGAACCCTCAACCTTAAAGCGCTTAACCACTAAACCCTCAGCCCCAAACCCTCAACTCTAAATCGTCCAGGGTGTAGGGTTTATGGTATACCTGGACCCCAAAGAACCTACCTTTTTTAAGGATATATATTTTTTTATTTATTTAATATACGCAATCAAAAATAAGGAACCCTGAAAGGCAGGTTTCCTGGGGTCCAGGTACTCCCTAAAGCCTAAGGCAGCTGTCTGCGCATGACAGGTCATGGAGATGGGATTCACCGAGGTTCGTTCCGAGAAGGCAATGGCCGTTTGCCTAGGACGCGGTTCAGGGTTGAGGGTTCGGGGCTGAGGATTGAGGGTTTGGTTTAGGGTGTTGAAGGTGGTGTGTAGAGAGGGACTAAGCCCTAAACCCTAAACTTTGTTAGCTGTGGCTGTGGCATCTGCTTTCCAGCCTCTTGGAGCTGCTTCCTTAAACCCTAAACCCTAAACCCTAAGCCTTAAACCCTAAACCCTAAACCCTAAACCTTGAACCCTAAACCCTAAACCCTAAACCGTCTGAGTTTGGGGAACATGGGCTGCCGTCTACCGGGCCTATCTCTTCCCAAACCAGGCCCTGAGCCCCGCAGGTCCCTTAGCAAGCCCCTAGAGCCACTGTAGTTGTATAAACCCTGAACCCTAAACCCTAGGTTTAGGGTTTATGTAGAGGTTGTATAAACCCTAAGCCCTAAACCCTAAACCCTAGGTTTGGGGTTTAGGGCTTAGTGAATGGTTTGATGTTGTTATGCTGGGACTTGATGCTGCAGACCACTCCTTGCTTGAACAGAATGCTCATGAGAAAGCAGCTGTCGTGCACATCACACAACCCTCGTCCGCCGAGGCATGAGTCGAGCCATGGATGTGCTTAGGCATCCCAGTGCCGCATGTATGCGGCTGGCGGCAAGTACAACATGAGATCAGGAGATGCAGACATGTCAGGTGTCGTCGGAGCTATGCTTTCCGTGGCGAAGATAGGGTTCTTGTGTAACCGTTTGACGGGTGATTTTAGTCTGATAGGTGGACGGCAGTCTTTATAATGAATTCAGTGACACCACT